GAGGCTGAAATAGATTGAAAATTATAACAAGGATTTGCAGTTTTAAAGAATAGCGTGGTGTTTTGTTTTGTTTGTTTTTGTAAAGAAGAAAAGGAAGTTGCTGTTGCTAGTGGTGATAAACACTAGTTTTACCAAACTGAATGTCCTAAGAAAGCAAAGTTGGGCTAACCACTGGGGGGCCTAAGATTCAGTTCAAGCTGGCATCCACTTACCATTGGCAAGTAGGAGTCCTAGAATAAACTCTCTCCTACTTTCATAGTAGACTACTGACTAATCGCCTATGAGGTAATATCTTGGCTAAATAACATTTTGTTTCCATTTACTGTAGCCTGTACAGTATAATAGCATGCTGGCTGTGTGCTTTCATGGATAAATAGCACCCTAGGATTCTGAAAAGGCAGGACTTTTCCCTCCTGTATAAAGAATGACTTCTAACGTTTTTCTGTTTTTGGAAGAGGAAGAAACAATTAGTCTTATCTCCAGGCAGCACTTTTATGCCTAGATGGTATTCTTTTGTCTCCCACTGAGTTAGCCTTGTGGCATTTTAGCTCCGCAGTGAGTCACTTTTTGTGGGCTTACTTAACTGCTGTGACTCACTGTGCTGGAGAAGAGGAGGGAAAAAGTTAAATATCTCACTTCACTTTTGCTTTTCAAAATAAAACTACTAAATGATCTTTTGGATGTTTGATCATTTGGCTTGCATCTTTACAAAGAAAAAAGAAAAAATGGTAGGAAAGATTTAAGCAAAAACAAAATATGAAGGGAAGAAAAAAAGAGAGCTTCTTTGAAAAAACTTCTAGAATGTATACTTCCAGATTTGCTGCCAGTATTTTGTAATGGGAGGGCAGCCCTTCCTGCTTGCAGGGTTACAGATAATCCTCAAGTAAAGTTTTAAGATCAGTCTCTGTTTCTGCTGGTAGCTTAAATGATGTGATTTTTGCCTTGTTCACATCTGTTTGAGAGCTCTCCACTGAGAATACAGTGTGCTTTGTCAGGGGTTTCTTTTCCCTTCACCCTTCCGTCTTCCCCAGCAATCTCCTAAAGTTGAGCGTCTATCACATTCTTTTCATTCTTTCTCCTGACAGTGATGAGAAACAAGCATGCTTTCCTCATTTAATGTATGTGCCTGTCACTGTTTTCATTTCAGCTTTTCCCCCGGTTACTCTCCAAAGAGTGGTAGTATATGGTCCTGTATGACTTACGAGGAACACCTCTCTAATTTACCAAAGGCGAAAGAATGGTTTCTGTTGTTTTCCCCCTTGCAGAATTTTTCAGTGAAGCATCTAAAATGGAAGCCTTTATGAGGAACTAAAAGGAAATGCTGTGAATTTGGATTAACCTTCCCTTCTTCCGGTTTAAATGTTGGACACTGATTAAGAGAAATAATCCCTGTTTCACAATAACTCCCAGACCATGTTGGATGGCTCTCTAGGAGAGGAATGGATGCAATTATGTGGTTAGTTTATTTTGTGGATCAGGTCTTAGTATGGCCCCAGGCATGGCAGAGGATTATTTTGGCAAATGTATCCTTGGATCCCGTGGTCTGAGTTGAAGGAGCTCACTGAGTGGTACGTTTAGGCCATCTGCTGTCTGTGCTTTTTGTGGACTGTGTGGCAGAGGTGGAGATCCCAGAACAAGCTGTATGAGTATCTATCTCATCGTGGGCTGTGTAGCTGTGGCCCTTGACTCTGTGACAAATTCTACTGTTTGAAGACAGGATGATTATTTCCTTCTAACAGAGCTGAGCGGTAGAGATTAGTGAATAGATCATTCTGAGCAATAAATGAGAGCAGCATGCTGGGATTTACTTTTAGGTGCAGTTTGGCACTTGTTGCACTGAGGGCCAGTGTGAGGATACCAGCTGGATGACACAGATGTTTGTTTTTTGCTCAAAGCTGGGGGGGGGGGGGGTCTACATGTGCATGAAACACAAGCTTTGGCTGTGCTACCAGCAAAGATCTGTGGATCAACAGGACAAGGTGCAGCCCTTTGGATCAGAGGAAAAAAGTTGTTCTCTTAAACTGTCAGCACAGTCACCCTCAAGCCTCAAACTGGTGAAGGAGATGACCAAAAGAGTCTAAGGCATCAGGAGACAAAATAGGTGTGTGGCAACTTCTAACACAGGAGATGAGAGGACAGGCAATCTATTATCAAGGCTGAAAGGTCCTCCACATGTGTTGAAGTGTGCAGTTGCTGTTATGTTGTCTGAGAGGAAACTGCAGGAAATGAGTCTGAAAATCCATCCAGCTACATGGACTGGATTGCTCTATGGGCCAGACCCTTTGAGGTAGATGAAGTAGTCCTTCTTAAGGATTTTGAGGATTTGGTAGGAATGAAGCAGCTTCTCTGCTGAAACCTAGAGATTTGCACAATTGTACTGTTTCAATAAATGGTTACAGTCTGTTTAGGAAGGGCTGACTGGCAAAAAGTGTGTCACTCCCACTCATTTCAGAAATACTTTGTCCAACTCACTGGCAGCTTTGAAGAAGATAGTTTTGGATTCTTCTGGGTCTCAAGAATGAGGCGAGAGGATTGTGAAACAACATAGAATTGCTCTAGAAAACAGAATGATGAGTACTGGAAGTAAAAGGAGAGAAAAAATGTGCTAATGTGGAGAACTTTCTTGTGAGCGACTTATAACTGAAGAGGCCATGCTCCCAGTGCAGAAACCTCATCTGAATTTCTAAAAGTTACATGATGTGTGTAAAAACATCAATTTCTTTAAAATGTTGTTTCGTTATGGGAGAGCTTTGTGTCAGATGTCATCGTAACAGTGGGAGGGGAATTGATCACAGAACAAAAAATAAGCGTTTGCTTTGATTCAGGTGTCCTGATTTGATTACATAAATGGTCCACAAATAGTTTTATTAAATATATTTTTTGTTTTTCAGTTCTCCAAATGGGCAACTTAATAGAGCAGCAAATAGTTACAGGAAGTAACAGGTGAAAAACAGTGAATAGAAAATGTGAATGATAGTAGGGACAAATTTATCGACTGTGACAGTGTTGAATCCCTAAATAAATGGAGCATCTGTTAATGCAGAAAAGTACTGACCATATCTGTTTGTCTTCTATATTGGGCATAAAGAAAACAGGATATATATATATTCATGGTCTAAAACTGTGATGAAATGCTTTCTATGTATACTCAGGAAGATGTTAAGCTGAAGATATTAAAATGAGAATTATTGTGTTTAAATCAGTAGGTCTAGAGAATTTGCAGCTGAGAGTTTTACAAGAGCTGGCCAAAGAGACACTTGAACTGTCAACTTTTCAGTTAGGGAAAATGGGAAGTCGCAGAAGACGGTAAGAAAGCTGATTTATTTAGTAAGAGAACCGGTCCTCCACAGTGAGCTGAGTGGCCAGGTCATGCTTTATATGTGATATCTGACAATCTGATTTCCCTGTGTAGAAGCTTTGTCTGTAATTCTCATGATTCAGCATTAACATTTAATTTCAGCTCATCTCACTTATCCCTAAGGTGATTATTCTTGTTAAAGTTTGAAGTGAGCCCATTCTGACTTTTCGTTGCCTAGGCTCAAGACCAGATTCTCGTTTAGTATGAGTCAGGATAATCCTGGGGCTGTCAGAGGAGCTACACAAATTTGCTCTCCCTTAGAATTGGCTCCTCTGGCTCAGTGACTGTGCGTGAAAAGATGATTCAGTGTTTGAAGTCACTGACTCATCTTGTGACAACCTGCCTCGGTGAGGATATGATAAAGAGGAGGATGAAGAGCCTTCTCACGTCTCTTATAGTCCAACTGTATGACAAGCTCTTCTGAGGAGAGAAATTCAAGAAAAGATGTGTCACCATGGTAACTAATTCCTGCACTCAGGTACGGGCCAGGGGCAACGTTTCGAAAAACTTTGCTGGGAGAGCATGCTTTGGACCCGCGTATCTCAAGCTGAGTGGTAGGCTTTGCTAGGGAGCTTCTCCAAGCAACAGGTTAACATGAAGCACCTGCCCTCTCTTCCAGGAGTTGCACTAGAAGGAGATGTAACATAGAAGGGGTCTTAGTCGATTGACGTGTGGCTAAAAACATTGAAAAGTACAGTTTTGCAGCACATCTGGGCTAACCACCATTCCAAGTCGGACTTTCTTTGTGTCCTTAGTAAAGCCACTTACATCTTTCATTCTTAATGAAATGGGGATAATTATAAGTGGCCTTCAAAAGTATCGTAGGGATTCATTAGATGAAATTGATGATAGAATATTTAAATGCCTACTTCTCTGGTGCAGGTATTCACATGTGTAGCTCTAAAAATCCTACGTTGGTGGTAACTGCAATGATGAGAGGCCAAGGTTCAGATAAATGAAGGCACTTCCCCTGAGCCATCCAAGCAGTATGTCCAGTGACAGATCCAGAAGTACAAACCATGCTAATGCTGTGTGGTAACCCGTGTTTGTGTTATTTTCTATTTTGGGGACTACTAGCCAGTTGGCAGCTGCTGTGCTAAATGATATAATGTGGTTAGAGAAGAAGCTACCTGGATGACCTGTATGGATACAGTTCCTCCACAGGGCTACTGAAGACTCATTGTGAAGCATGAGATAACGGTGATGTGTATCATGTAGCGCACATGGAAACCAGCCAGATTCCACTGCTAAGTATAGGCCAGGGGAGCGAGCCTGGCTTTGCACAGTTGCTCTGTGTCTGAAGATAGTACCTTTTGTGCTATGTTCACATATAGTGTGGTGCTTTGCTCAGGGGCTGCTGGAGAGTGAAAGCAAAGAGAGGACTGAGCCTTTGTACTTCACGTAGCTTTGACTCAAAATCAGTTTGTTAGCAGCTTTCATAACAAATATGAAGGGAGAGTTTTGAGGTCTGGTGAGGGAATGAAAGGGAGAGTTTAGAGCTTCTTGCTGTGAAGCTGTTGGAGAGGAAATAGATCACATACTGTTCACTGTATCTCAGAACGGGAGTGGCAAAGCTGCTGGTTTCGCTGAGATTTATTTGGACGCTCTGACAAGGCACAACATGCAGTGAAATAAGAAATAGTAAATAAAGCAAGAGATAAGCTTATCCCACACCTGACATTACCCATCAACGGTCACAAGGAGCAATGACATTTTGCCCGGTAAAATTTTATGAGAGAGAGAGAGAGAGAGAGAGAGGGAGAGTACATGGCTGGTCTTCCTCAGTCTCTCCATGAGTAGATCAAATCCATCCTCTTTGTGGATGAAGGATTCCTTTTATCATACCAGTGGTGGTGTTTTAAATTCTCTTATTTCTGGTGAGTAGTAAACTGAATCTGCTGTGATGGCATGAAAGTGAATATGCTATGCTTTGTTTCCCTGCTTGTGAGTCTGTGGAAAAATGACTGAGCGGTAAGGAGATACACTGAGTTTCGTTGTTTACTTTTTTCCCCCTTTGAGTTCAGTGTCTTAAACTGTCATCTGATCGAGGAGTCACGGATTGGCATGCCTAACTGGAGAGCCCTTTCCCTTTATTTTACTGTTTCAGACAATTTACTTGGACGATGATGTCTCTTCCTTTGTGCAGATCAGAGGCTCTGTTCCACTCTTTTGGGAGCAACCGGGGCTTCAGGTAAACAAACAAACAAAAATGCCTACCTTACCTGTCGCTCTTGCTACTTATAATTTATTTAATTTTATGAAGTTTCTAATTTTTTAATGAGCTGCAGACCTCCTTCTGTGAAACTGCTGAGCTCTTACATTTCAGGATTGCCTTGTAGGACATTTTGCATGTTTAAAAAAAAACAAAAAACAAAAACCTGGCAAGTTACTATACTTACTGAAATCTAACATTTTCCATGCGTTCATATGCCTCTGCAGGAAAGTCTTTGTGTGAATCTCTGTCCTAATGTTTACTGCTGTAAGCCTCACTTTATAACATTTTTTATTTGACTTGGAACAACCTTTCCTTCTGCAATGCCAAGTTGACTTGTTGTCCTTCAAACAAAATATAATGTCCAGATAGTGTGTTTGCTAGATTTCAGTAAAAAGGGGAATATGATGGTGTTCTAATCTGATCTGAAAAGCCGAGATGCAGGGTTTCATCAGAAGCTTATTGTATCAAGTCTGCCAGGTTATGTATGATCTGTGAGTTACAGTTTATATATGATTACAAACTTGAATTTAGTACTCTTCACGTTCTCTGAACAGAGGGATATGTAACTGGAATGAGTAAGCACGTAAATGCGTATAATAGAAGACATGTAATATAAGTGTATTTTATATTCTTTAAAGATTATTTGATATCTTATCATTAAATCTAGCATCTAAATAGCATTCAGAAGTACTGGATTTAGTGCAAAAGGAAGATTACCTCTGTTGGCATCATTCAATGCAGTAGTTTCTTTTTATAAAGCCGATTTGGCCGTATGGTTTGCACACTTCCTGCCCTTGGTGTGGCTGTGTCCAGCACTGTTGTTCTGTGTGTTATGAAGCCCTAGAGCTTTTTCCTCGAGTTAGGTATTTTTGGCTAGTGGCCAGCATATTTAGTTAAACAGAATGTTCAGGTTTTGTTGAAAGGTACATGGTCTGAATTTTTGCTTAATTTGGGTTAGATTATGCAGCCTTCATTCATGTTGCTGAACACTCATAATTTTTTTTTTTATTATTCCTTGGATGTGAGTGTGCTGGTGCCAGTGTTAGAAAGCATTGCATAAGTCAGCCTCATGAAAAACAGATGAAGACCATGATGTACAAGAAAAAACGCGTGATCTAACAAATAATTAGCAATGTAGTTTTTGGACAGTATTGCTACTCTGCTTTGAGTAGTAATAAGGGCATCTAGCATTTAAAAGGAGCTTGAGGCTACTGTTATTGACAGCCACATTAAAACTCCTGTTAGATCAGTGGCACAGGATTTCGTTCTTCATGTTTTCAAAGGATAATTCTGATACTTTTTAGTTTGTGTAAAAAATGAAGGACAAAACAAGTCAGGACACACAATCCACGCAACTGTCGTAACTGCAGCCTTTTTTGCCAAGTGAAGGGCAGGAAGAAGGCTAGGCGCGCAGCATATTCGTGTGATGCTGTGTGGGATATTTGCTAGAGGAAGTTGACTAGGAGACATGACTTATTTGGCCATAAAAAGATGTGTAGGTGTCTCATTGCTTAATGATAATCATGTTTTCACCTGCAATTGTAAATGTGGTTGTCTAATAAAAGCTCTGGCTTTTGTATTAAGGATATTATGTGTGTGTGTGCGCGTAGAGTCAGTTAGGGGTGTCTGGTGCTGTTAGAGATGTTTCCTCTGAAGGAAAGAGGGAGACATCTAGTGATTTAGGAGTCTATCAACTTAGGGAATTATTTCTCTCTTTATTTCCTTCCAATATTTTATTTTAGGTGGGTTCTCATCATCTAAGGCTTAACAGAGGTCTGGAAGCTAACGCTCCTGCATTTGACAGGTAAGCTTCATTGGACTTTGGCAATAGCACAGCAACCTGGCATTTAAACAAGATTCTACAATTTTATGCCTTCTTAGTAAATCGTTAGATGTGAAGCATCTCTCGGATGATGTAGCCAGCCCCGCAGGTCTTGCAAAATTGTTAGGTGCGTTCACTTTATTTATTCACTTATTTTTGTGCATTTTCCTTCCTGGTTTCAATGGTAACTGAATTAATCTAGTCTCCTGGCTTTTTTCTGAAAAAGCTGAATGGTATGCAAAAAGAAAGCCTGTGTAAGCCTTTGTGAGTCGACAAATGTTAATTTACAGTTCAGGTACGGAGAGCACATGTTCTTCTTTACCCCTGTATCCCAGGCAATTAAAAACTAAACGCTGCTGCTTCTCCTTTCTGGATTCACCTTGCTCCTTATTATTTTACTGCTATACGGAAGTAATAGCAACTTGTTCTGTAATCACTGCTGGGTGAATCTCATGCTGATGCTCTTGTGCTCTACTCGGACTGATTTATAAGCCCTTTTTAAACCATTAGACTCTGCTTGTCAGCTGGAAACCATAAACATTGCATACATTAGCTTGATTCCTTTGAAAGGCTGACTGTGAAGTGCTGCCCTTTTAAGGGCAAACCCCCATTGACATCAGTGAGAAGATTGCCTGAAACTGAAATGAAAGATTTTAGGTAAGGCCTCTTAGTTTCTTGGTTTAATTCACTGCAGCTGCTAAGAAAGATGACAACAGTGACTATTAGTAGTTTGGCAGCACTGAAGGACCCCAAACAATACACTGTAGCAGTCCCTGCTCCAGTGGGACCTAGTCCAGATTCTCAAAGGTTTGTGAGACTGCTAAATCACACTGAATTCAAATGCCTTTGAAATTCACGGTCTTCATCTTGGAGGCTTGTGTTCCACAGCAGAGGTAAGTTATATAAGAAGAGAACAATGAATTGATCAGTCTGTTTTTGTACTTCCAAGGACACTGAGAGTACTTCAGGCAAGGAACAACTCCGCAACATCATCTAGCCCAGAGAACCTGTTCTTTCTGACCCCGATGCAAACAGTGAATGGCCTTCACCTAAGAAACATGAACATGAGGATCAGCTTGCAGTACTCCTTCTTTCCCTTGTGCACAGTAGAGTGTCTAGGTTAGATGAAGTTAGGGATCCGCTTGCTTACAGAACTGCAAAAGACAATCTAGGAGATGGGCAAGGAGCAATCATCTGTTTTTATGGATATGGTCACTGAAACTAAACAACTTGCTGCAGCGTTTCTGTGTGTTTTAGAGTGGATTTAGCCTATTACATTTTCACATTTGACAGTTAACGCGTTGAGAAGGCACTAAGAGAAGCGAACAGTAATCTCCTTGTTAATGGATCTTTTTTCATCCCCCCCTCCCTGAGAAATCCAAGTGCAATGCTCAAGCAGACGACCTGAGCTTCAGTGACTTTGTTGTTAGGAAACAGTACTGATGGAAAAGTAGGACCTTGATGCTGGAATCAGAGGGGTGCACATGTAATGGAAAGAGCTGGCATACAAAGAAGTGGCTGCAGAATCAAGACCATACATACCACTAGAAACTATCTGTTGCAACTTTTCTCTAAGGCCAAGCTGCTAACTTTTTCTTTCTTCTCCCCTCTCCATAGTTTTCTGTGTGGCTCGTTCCTGTTTATAGGATTCACAAGTGCACGCCCCAAGACTCGTCCTTGTTTTTCTGACACTCTTGCCATTGCACGTCGCTTTGCAGCATGTAATAGCTTTTCATTCATGGGAGTGCTCACTTCATTTTTCTTTTCTTTTCCTACAGAGCTTGCTCTTAAATACCACTACAATGTTGTTAGCATATGATGTAGTGTGGCTTTAAGATTTACTTGTTTCTTGATGAGCTTATATGACTCTTGTAGCACATACATTCCAACTTAAAAAGAATGTATTGAGGGGAGAATAGGTGTTTCTTCATCTGGCTAAAAACTTTGGCATGGGAATCCCTAAATGTCAGATTCTGAGAGGCTGGGAACATATGCCGTAAGAAAGATCACTTTATTGTTACCCTGTTGTTATGTTTCATTCTGAAGAATCTGCCACTGTCTGGGCCAGACCACTAGGCTAGAAGAACCTTTGGTCTCATCCAGCATGGCAGTTCTTACGTTTACCAACCTTCCTGCTTAATTAAAGTAAGTTGAGACTGAATGTGTCAACGTTGTAGTAGTTCAGAAATATTTGAACCCTATGGTTGATGATACGTATTTGTCTGTGACTCTTTGGCCTTGGGATTGGAGCCAGAGGCCCCATTGCTGCCACTGACTATTGGCTCAGTCTTGCAAGATGCTGGGCAATTTCTGTTGAAGTGCAATCTGTTCTCTTCTCTCGTCTTTCATGTGCAGCTTCCAGGCAGAGGTGGGAGCATACAAAGGGCAATATAAAAAGTAACAGTAGCATAAAAGATCTGTGGCCTGTTTCCTCAGCGTCTTCCTTTTTTATGTTCAGTTCAAAGTATTCTATTTGTTAATTGCACGCTTTCACAATTTTTATTTTAGTAAATCATTGTGAGGAAACTGAGGTGAATTTCTGTAGCTGCTATAGTTGAAACCTTCTGCTGGGTGGAACAAGCAGTGAACCTTTGGAAAAGGAAGTAGGCAACATAATAGGCACTGAACAAAACCGTGTTATGGTTGCTTTTGCTATAGGCATATGATGCTTCTGAAAGAGCAGTATGGAAAACAAGTGATCGTTAACCTGTTGGGAAGCAGAGGAGGAGAGGAGGTGCTCAACAGAGCCTTCAAGGTAATAGCAATGATTTCATATTAAACTGCTGACTTCTCTGAGCTTCCATGTTCTGTTTCCCTTCTGGAGGAAGGGAAGTCTTTCCAAGTCAGGTGATGAATGTTGGATCTAAAGAGATGTATCTCTTCACTAAATGTTGCATGCAGAGAGATGGTACTTCATGGTCTGGTGGCTTGATTCCAGCACTGGCTTCTTGCTTATTTCCTCACACCTGTATGCACTTTCTCTTTGAGCAGACTTTAAATAATTGCCCTAAGTCTCTTGAGAGTATGCAGGTCCTATTTGCAGATAAGAATTGTGTTCTGCTTTGTCACAATATTCAGTCAACTATGCATTGACTGTCTCAGTCAGGTGCCTTGCGGGATTGTCAGAATTGTTTTGGGTCCAGGCCCTGACCCTACCTCACTAAAAGTAAGCTATCTTGCACTGATTGTAGTGGGAATCAGCTATGTTGTGCTGATTGTGATGGGATTTAACTGTCTGAGTACCTGTTGACAATTCTGGTGTGTGAAGAGATATGCATTCCTAACCTCTAAACATCTCTAGGCACAACTGATATCTGAAAGCATCTGTGTTGTATTTTCAGGATGTCAGGCACCGAAGAATTAAAGCTGTACTGAGTTTTAGTGCAGTATAGGATTCTCAGGGCCAGATTTTTCAAGCTAATACAAATACTGTAACAAGTACAGACTTGGCAGTGCGGGTTTGCACTGAATGGGATTTGTGGAAGTGCCTTGCTGCCCGACTCCAAATGGAGGTTGATGGAAGCCTGTCTCCTAAGTGCCTTTCGCTTTGGAAATCAGACTTAGGTACTTTGGAGTATATCTTATGAAGAATAGTATGAATGATATTTTAAGTACAGTACTATAGTAGGTGTAACATAATTAGTATTATTACAGAATGATACGACAGTTCTGAGTTCAAATGTTTACCATGTGAAATTAAACAAGATGAAAATTGCAGTTAAATAATACATAGTTATTGATTTGTTTCCCTCTCTGTCAGAATAATGTGCTTGAGATAAGCAGCATTTTAATAGCCTTTCTGTGTGACTGTTCTTCCCTTCTCTCTTCCCTTCTCCCTAGCCACGGATGGTGGTTGTAACTAAAACTTGCAAGTCAGTAAAGAAAGTGCAGTAATTAAGTCTGATCCTGGCTTCTGTTTTCAGCTTTAAAGTGATTTTCTGCATGATATAGCTGAGCCTCTATAACCTCTTGTTCTCCCTATCTTTAAAATAGAACTTTTATAGTTGTTTTTTTTTTTTTTAAACGTTGAACTTTAAGGATAAGAGGTGATCAGTTTGGAAGTGTTCAGATAACTATGAGAATACAAATCGGACATGTCTTGTGAATTTAATACTAATATTTTTACCAAGCGTGTTCTTGAAGGCACTGTTCTGGCAAGTAACTGCCAATATATCTGCATGAATGTTGTATGGTATCTGACTTTTCTTTCTTTGGAAAGTTATTTGTGTTCAACCTCTTACTTCTGTTATGATCACAGAACCAGGAATTAAGTCAGAAATACAACATGGCTAGAGTAAAAACTTTGCTTTTTTTTTTTTTTAATTAAAGATCCCTTTTACTTAGATTGTTAAGCATCATCCCTATTCTAGGAAAATTGTGGGAGTGCCTTGTGAGCTGAAAGAATTTAGACTGACAGTTCTGGAAAAACAACAACCTCTTGATCTTTTCTTTACCTTTTTTTTTTTTTTTTTTTTAATAAATGGATGATGAGAAGAAATATATAATCAGGTTTTACTTTAATAGATTTTTAAGGGCTTAGATCAAAATTAACTAAATCATAACGGAGTGATTAGCAGTGAAAATTTTTCTCCTTTTCTGTCATGTTTATCTGTTTCTCCATCTTCCCTTGTCTGCTTGCATTCTTTCCTCTTCTCCCTCTACTTGCTGCAATCTTCACAAGTCTTATCTGAATTTGTTCAAAATATTCTTGTAACTGCTGCCACTGCTACTGGATTCCTTGGATCAGAATGTCTCCACAACCATTACTTTATGCAAAAGAAGCAAACAAACAAACAAAAATTGCCATCTTAACTTCTGTTAATTACCTCTTATCAGATGACCAAAAATCAATACTTTTCCCAGAATGCTGTTCTTCTCGCAAACATCCCCTCTAACAGATATAATTATTTTTACAGTAAAAGCAATGCTGTAGTGTAGAGTTACCAATATTCTGACAATGATTTACACCAAGGCAGTGGGTAAATGTTGTTCTCAAGTGCATTACCAGTGCCAGCAGCTGTAAAGGCAGGTTGAGGTGCTGCCAGCAAAGAAGCGGATACCAAGTGTTTTAACTTTTATTACAACGTAATGAAATATATTTTGCACTCTCTCTTCAAGCACTGTGCAACACCTTTAAATTTGTCTCTGCAGGAAAGGCGTGATGGCTAACCTGATACAATTATGCTCGTATAACTGCTGTATGTACGCTTTTAAAGTAATATCACGGTTGTTTTTGTTCAGTCTGTGTCACAATCTAAGTGGAAAAAGGCATCTGTCTCTTGAGATGAGAATATACAGGAGGGGAGGGAATAGATAAAGGCTTACATAATTAGAGTTAATATGACAATTCTCTTTGGTTTTTCTGTGGAAAGCAGAATATACTGACTGTTATGTTGTATACATTGCAGAAATGCTAATGAAATTTGTGGTGATTATGAAAATGCACGTGAGGTCGTGGAATTGGGGCGTGAACTAATCAGGGTGTTTTACCATTTCTTTCACTTATGTGGGTCACCACAAACACTTTATAAAATGCTTTCTGGGACGTAATTTCTTTCTTACTTTCTCCCCTACCACTATGCATCTAAAGTTAGGGCTATGTTATTCCATATCTGGGCACTGCACTAATGGTTACAAAATACCATGCCCTGTTAATACCCATGTACCTTAAGCAGCTCTGGACATACTTACCCATCAGAGTCCCAGCCCTCTGTCTGGTTCCACCTGACAGCATCTCTAGGGATGCAGAGAGTCTCAGGAAGTCTGTCCAGAGCATCACTGTTCCAGAGCTGGAAGGCTGCCTGCTGCAGTTCTGCTGTGAGCCAAGGCTAAGGGAGTGCCCAGCTGCTTCTGCTGAGGAGGCACCAGAGTTTGTAGCTCTGCCTTGCAGCTACAGCTTACGATCCCACACAGAAAGTTGGGCTCTGACAACTCAGTTTACTTTTGGAAAGAAAACAAATTTTTGGAAAGAAAACAAATAGAGAACTTTCGTTGCTGTTTCCATGTCTCGCATTTCAAAATTCCCTCTGAACTTCTTGATGTTAAAACTGTAGTAAACTGTCCAACTTTACTAATGATAAAAAGCATGCTGGTATCAGTCCATACACTGTGGCTTGAGCCGGATTTGTTTCCATTCTTTCTCTTTCTAAACAGAAATTGCTATGGGCCTCTTCCCATGCAGAAGACACTCCTATGATAAACTTTGACTACCACCAGTTTGCCAAAGGTGGGAAAGCTGAAAAGCTGGAAAACTTACTGAGGCCTCAACTGAAGTTGCACTGGGAAGACTTTGGAATCTTCACGAAGGGCAAGAATGTAAATCCACGGTGAGTATCCTGGCCTGATGGCCCCATATGGTCAGAAGAGATTGTGCCTGGCTTTCACGGGTTCATCACTGTGTCAGGACCAAGAACGTAGCTGACTATCTTGGAGTACAATTTTGAGACAAAGTGCAGTCTTGGGGTTAATTGACCGTTTGGCTTAACTGCATCTCCACTGTTTGGAATCTGGAAAATTACTAGTGCATGGATTTGCTAATGTGGTGTTTCAGACGTGATCAAGTAATTAGAGGTATAATGGAATACGCTGCGCGTGATGTGTGCTTCCCCTAGTAAAAAGGGGGTGGGTATGTTCAGGCTGAACATTTGGTGATCTCGCTCAATCAACCTATGATTAGATGTCATTTTAAAATATACCTTTTTCTCCCTCTCCTCTTGTGTTTGGTTACCAAAGTCTGCAGACAGGTACTTTTCGAATGAATTGTTTGGACTGCCTGGATCGTACTAATAGTGTACAGTCCTTCATTGCACTAGAGGTGAGTTTGTCAGAGGACCTTTCATGGGTGCCCCTACTGCATACATTGTGTGTTCCATGGGAAAAATGGGAAAGAGGACATAAGCCTCAGTGACATAAGTCTTTCTTGCCAGCTGTCTGATACAGAATGATGCTGGCTGGAATACCTAACTGGAGAATAAAAAGGAAAAACATATTTAAGAACTTTTTTTGTTTTCCTCTTTCTGCCCCAATCCAGATCCTGCTTGCTCAGTTGGAAAGCCTTAGGCTGAACTCTAAATCTATAGTTGAGCGCTTTGTGGAATCCTACAAAGCAATGTGGACTCTCAACGGTCATAATCTGAGCAGAGTATTTACTGGCAGTCGTGCCCTCGAGGGGAAGCACAAGGTAAAGGAAAATGGCAGAGCTGCTTATTCACAAGTGACAGTAAAGAAAGTTGTCAGAATTACTGTTCAGTGTTACTTGTGCTGATGATCCCTGTCTAAAGCAGGTTGGGAAACTCAAGGATGGAGCCCGTTCTGTGTCGCGCACGATTCAGTCAAATTTTTTTGATGCAGTAAAGCAGGAAGCCATCAATTTGCTGCTCATGGGTGACTTCTTCAGTGAGGAATATGCAGACAAAGGCAAGATGCTCATGGACCACACTGCTCTGCTAGGTAAAGGCAGTGTAAACCCTTCACTTTTCTTTTGTGTTTATTTTGTTCTTGTTTTCAGCTGTCACATATGACCAATTGCATCCTTTTGAAACAATAATTAATAAGCCACTTTTGCACAAATATGTTATTTAAAATACTGCTTTCAAGTCACCATAAACCAGCTGTTTGTATTTTTATTCCACTGTGCTTAATTCTCATATTTTGTATTGGACTTCTGAGTGTATTTATCTGCTTGCTGATGACAATCTCTTCTGACAGTTTAGAGGAGTTAAACTGGAGGAAAAGTATTAGGGCTCTATTACCAGTTTGGTCCTAAATGAGTCAGACTTAAATAAGTCTCTTGAGCTCAGATTTTGATGTCTTTATTTTTGACTTGCAGTTTGCAGATGCTTTTAGCCATTTGGGTCTCTAAAGGCACCTTTATGCTGTTATTTTGATTCATTCTCTGCTATACTCCAGGGCCATGCTAATCCACAGCATGTGCACATTCATTTGTACCCATCTAGAGTAAACCAATCTAGCTCCCTCTGAGAAGAAACTTGTGTGCAAAACACAGGATAGTCTGCTCCCACAAGCAGTATCAGGTGGTCAATTTGCTCCAGAGAACGGTTGGCCTTTAGTAGGGTAGACGTTAACCATTCAGCACCGCTTCAATCCTGGATTTGTCCCCTGAGGGGGGACCATAAGGAAGGCACACATACCTCCTCTATGTCTGATTGCAGAGTTAAATGAGGTACTTGAAGATTAAGGTCATCTCAGTTGCTCTTCCAACTAACGATGGACATACAAGCACGCTCCTAATTTTCTGTACCAATTAGAAATAATGAATATGGCATTTTCTTGTGGGGAGTTCTGATTAGACTAGTGATCCATAGCAGCGCTGGTTTTGAAGAACTCATGTGAGTCTCTGTGCTGCTTGCTACCTTTCCCCCCAAGCCCTAAATTTCTTAGGGCTTAGATTTAAGTCTTAATTTGTGACATGTGCAATCTCTGTAGACTAAACTGAAAAGATTAAGAAGGGAAAAAGAATTTGTTCAGTTACTACTTGAAGTGCTGGAAAATGTGTGAAAAATGTTAAAAGTGAGTTGAGTCTTTTCCAATTTGTTACTTTTAAAACTCTTGACTTTTCTCTTCCTGACCAATCTGTTGCCCTCCATGTTTAAAAGTAGAGCTCCTTTCAGAGTGCCTGACTTTCTGAAGAGAAACTGATGGTGTCCACCCCAGGTATCTTGTAGTTATTGCTGTTACCATTGGAGTTATTCTTTTTTGTGTCATTGCCACTACAGTAATGTCGTTATTTAACAGTAACTCTGTGCCAGTCTGTATCCTTTTTATCCTCTTACAGTGCTTTTTTTTTTTTTTTTTGTTAACACATTCTCTCCTCCCCCTGCCCAGTAACTCCAAGTATTTTGAAGGCCATGTCAGAGCGTCAATTTGAATTCACAAGCTTCAAGCGTATTCGTGTTGCCATGGGGACCTGGAACGTGAACGGAGGCAAGCAGTTTCGAAGCAACATCCTAGGTACCAGCGAGCTAACAGACTGGCTGCTGGATTCTCCTAAGCTCTCTGGAGTTTCTGAATTTCAGGGTAAGACTTTGAAGTCAAAATGTATAAGCAATATTTCCTGGCATCTGCAAGGACAGCAGCAAATTTAGACACCAGATTTGACCAGCTGTTCCTTTCAAAGTCAGTGTGTTATCTCTGAGGGTATTTTCTGTCAATCCTAAGGGATGTATTTTGCCCCATTTAGCTTTGTGCTGCCCCCCTCAGCAGTGAGGTGATATGTGGAGGCTGCTGACAGAGCAGCTCTTGGGTTGTTACCATGTGATACTGTTTTGGACTTGCAGCAGTTCAGAATCTACAGGTCCCTTTCACTCCTTCATGGGGCATATCTTCCTATTCTGCATCTCATATTGGGTTTTATTCCTTGACTCCTCCCTCCTTTTTTCTTTATCATGAGTGGGAGCTATGTGCTTAGGTGCCCTCAAAATGGCTACTTGGTCTTTATCTGCAGGTAAATGTATCTCTACAATCTAGACTCTAAGCTTGTCTGGAAATGTTACTATCAAAATCTTCAGACAAAAAGAAATTTATTACATTTGTTGAAGGCAATTTCCCTTGTTCAGTGGTATAGAAACCTGTTGTGCTTGTGGCTTGCCTGAACTGGCTGCTGAATTTCTCATTTACAGAACAAGGCTACATATTGTAATTGATTTACAGATTTTGTTGAGGAAAACAAAAAGCGAATGCTGTCATCTTAAAATTGAGTTGTTATAAAACTATTTTAGAACTTATGCTTTTGTTGTTACAGTAGAACATTTAGTCTCCTGCAGGCATCACAGGGGTATTCCTATGCCTATCCTTCAAGGAATTTGTTCCTCAAATCCTTGGCCTGCTAACATGAGTTGTTCCTTTTGAACGTTTACTACTTGAGTGCATGGATATGTGATCAGGTGCTCAGGCAGCTATACTCTGAGCTGCTTGGGTAGGTGCTTGGGCTAGTCTGTTTCAGAAATGGTTTCTGTGTGTTAATACATGCCTGTGCTCATGATACTAAAATTTTTCAAGAGTCAGTCGTGTGTTAGCCCTGCCAGACCTTTCCTTGAGAGAACTGAGTGGGGCAAGGGGGAGGGCAGCACAGCTGATTAGTATGGGCAGTCATAATGTGAAACGTCTAAACAGCCTCTGCCGTGAAGATGGGTTATGTGAATCAGCAGAGCTAGGGCATGACCATGCGATGTCTGTATTGGTAGTAACATTAGTGCAGCATCTACGTGAATGGGTAAGTTTACAAAGGATGGGAAATACATAGCTAACATGTGACAGTGTCCGTCATGTGAAGCCCGTAAGGGAGGCTAGCTATCATGTATTAGCTTGGCCATTTTGTTTACAGTGAAGAGCCCCATATTTTACTTTTTTTTATTATTATTATTATTTGGTGGGGTAGGTCTGCTTGAGGTTCCTGTGGTTTTCTACTTTTAGGTCTTTGCCTAGGGCATACAACAGTTTAAAAACCAAAAAAGCACCCTTTAGGCAATGGGCAAATCAGATGTGTCAATAGATGTGCTTCATACTATTATAGAAGAGTATTTGATCTTCAGTGTTTCACTGAGGGGGTATGTACAGGTCTCGGCCAGCGAAAGGAGAGTCACAGTGCTCTAGGGTGACCTAAGCTTATAGTGCAGGTGATCCAAGAAGGCAGGGTCTGGGAAGAAAGATGATAAGAAACGTCCAAGGCTTCTTTAAAGTAGCAGATAAATTTACTGAAGGCATCGAGAGAGGGAAGGGACATACTGGTATATGGACAGTAGTTTCCGTTACTTAAGGATCAGTGTCAGAAAAGAAAAGGAAGAAGGTGAGGTTGTTAGGTAACCAGTGTAAGATGACGAGTGGTGGTAAGATGGTGAGTAATGAGATGTTGTGGCTCTGGTGAGACGTATGGGTGAGAGAGGGAAAACTTCGACTATTTTCTCATTTTAACATTGCTACAATATAATGCTCTGTTCTGAACTGCTTCCTGCAAGAGAAATGGAGACCAACTGCTGGGAGAAAAGCAGGAAAAAATTCCAGAGGAACTGCAGGGGATGTTTTGTGAGATTAGATTAAAGGAGCTATGAATACGTATAGGTTGGCAGAGGATACCCAAGATAAAACTTTAGGAATGATCTGTAGCAGAAATTAGAATGCAGGTTGTTAGAAGAAATAACAAAGTAGGAACTCTTGTATGCATTTTTCCCTCTTCCCAATAGATGATGAGAACTGCCCTCCTGACATATTTGCAGTGGGATTTGAAGAGATGGTTGAACTAAGCGCAGGGAATATTGTAAATGCCAGGTAGGTTAAGAAAATGCTGCCCTCACTCCCCACCCAAAAACCAACCAACCAAAATCCTCCAGAGCTGTCCTTTGTATGCTCAGATGTATAGAACACTTCAGCTCCCAGTTACACCCAGTGGACGAGGGTATCAAACCCAGATTACTCTAAGCCTGGCTGACACAATCCAGCTCATATCCAGAGGTGGGATAACTGCATTTGTGCATTGTGCCTGGGTTCACTGACCCTGCTTGCTCTGGACTGACTCACAAGGTGATATTAGCTGCCTCTCCTGTGCATCCCAAAGCACTCCAGTTCTGGAGTCAGCATGTGCAGAGCCTAATGGGATGTCTGTAAACCTAAGACGCAGTTAATCTGCTTGGTGTATTGATTGCATGTGGTTTCTTTTGATTCCATTAAATGATTTTTGTGTTTGTTCCAGCACAACAAATAGAAAGATGTGGGGAGAGCAGCTTCAAAAAGCTATTTCAAGGACTCATCGCTACATTCAGCTGACATCAGCACAGCTCGTTGGTGTTTGTCTTTTCATCTTTGTTCGGCCTTATCATGTCCCCTTCATCAGGTAAAAAAAACACTCTCACACTCTCACTCACACACACTCTCACTCACACACACTCTCACTCACACACACTCTCACTCACACACACTCTCACTCACACACACTCTCACTCACACACACTCTCACAAAATTCTAACAGCAGCTGTTACTGAAGATGTCCAGCACCTTGCCTCCAGTTCAGCAGAGAAGCCAGGCCTCTTGAGGTAGTTGGGTGTAGCACCTTGTTTGGGTGCTGTCTTTGTGGGGAAAGAGGAAGGATGACCTGTCTTAATAAGTCCAAGAGAGTTCTGAGCACCAAGTGAAGGCAAGTGCCCATCTCTGCCTGAAGAGCAGGGTTTACTTTCTAACCATATCCTTACTGTTTCCTTATAGAAATGTAACATCTATGTGTTGCTTAGCCTTCCCCAAACATTGTGTGTCTCGGGCGCCTTTGTGGCATGAAGCTGCAGGGTACCTTATTGCAAGGCTGAACCTTAAGTACCTTTTGTAAATTTGTCTTTCTTCTGAATGCTCTATAAGAATAATTTATGAAATACTTGGGGATAATATTATAGTAATGTTGGCTGCTCTGGAATACTATAATGACCTTCTGTAAGTTCAAAGAGTAGGACAGAATTTCTCCTCCAGGAATAACTCCAAGAACTGCTCTGAAGAGAGCATTTGTGATAACTCTGGTAGCATAGAAGGAGAAAGGCTGTGTCTCTGTCCAAACAGCTCAGGCCTGTTGTCAGAGATGCGTGTCAGCGTCTCCCACCACAGCCTGAAATAAATAGTTAACACAGCTGTCACAGAGCAGATATAATATGTTCTCTGGGGAGAACACTTCCAGGCAAATAGTGAAGCTATTTGGTATAAGCAACAGTGCTGGAGTGTTTTTTTGTTTGTTTTTTTTCCCCCTCCATGAATAGCATCCTATAGATATAGGGTAGTATAGATACTACTACAGTTGTAGTAATATACAGTAGTAGTAATATAACATAGAAGTCGTTGGTTTAAGACCTGAGAAGAGCAGTGGAGAAGGTGGATGTGGGATGAGGGAAGAGAGCTAGAGAGGTAGTTTTGTCCCCTGACGTTTTACAGAATTGAGGGGCTGTAAGGACCCCTTAAGTGTTTGTCTCTACCAGATATCAAGAGAACCAGAACTGCATCTCTAGTCAGGAGGATGCAGAGCTGTGCCTCCTCAGTTTACTAGCACCAGTGTCACTGGAGCCTGACCAAACTTCTCTTGCGCCTGGAAGATTCTCGTTTGTATTAAAGAGGAAAGATAAGAGAACAGAGCCACAGGGATATACACGTTAAAATGCCTTTGCCATGGGCAAGAATTGTGTAGTCTAAATGTGAATGGGTAGGAAATGAGTAATTACCAAAACAATCGGAACAGTACCCTCCACTCCATATTAGAGACACTGACCAGCCACCACATTTTGTGATCATAGTATCGAAAGCTGCCTCCCTCTCACTGAGCTCATATCTACTGAGAAGGTCAGTGCAGAACTTGTGCAACACTGAGTGCTGTAGCCGGGGTAATGTAATCCAGGTAACCCAGGTGGTCTTGAATTGTTACATTCTTAGTAATCTTTCTTCAAAGAGATATTTAAAATTACATTTTGTGATGGTCCAACGCAGTCCAGAGGAGGAGTGTATCTGTCTGTAGTTGACTTTTCACCTGGATTACAAGATCCATGACCAAGAAATTTGAATAATCCAGCAGGAAGTGGTTGGTTAAATGGAGATCAAAAGCAGAAGCAGCACAGCATAGTGGCTCTGTTGTAGCTGTCAAGCTGCTAGGAATCAGATATAGCCCTTTGAAACTCGGAGAAAAAGGCAAGGGTCAGATTGTAGTGACAGAGTTTCATTATTTAATGCTAATGTGCTGCTACATAGTATGTGAATGCAATCAAATCTAGTCTGCATGCCTGTGTAGTTTTCACTATGTCCAGTAAATGAAAACAAAAATTACCAGAAGTGCAAAAAGACTTCTGTGTTTACAGAGATTAAAGAGATTAGGGCAGACGTTAGAGAAATAAAATGGGAGAATGACTGAAGTTTATATAGCAGTGAAAGGAGCAAGGAAATACAAGCAGTTCATCTCAACATAACCTTGGATGGAAGTCGGGTAAATGCTGGTCAGCAATTGGATAGGCAGGCAGCAGGAAGGGAGAACTCCTTAAAGTGAAAAGACTGACCACGTGCTGCTTTCAGAGCAGTTGAAACGTGTCTTTTCATAAAACACATTGATGGTCCTGTTTGTCTCCCTTTACAATTAAGGGTGTCTTTTCTGGTGGTTTTCTGCAGTCAGGAAAATAGAGGAGAATAGCACAGCTTGGAACATCTTCCAGGCACACTCAGATTGCCAGCGCCTGATACAAACCCAAAGACTTAGTGTTTTTTCCCCTGCCCCTTGCTTAGAGCTAGTAATAATCTAATCCAGATCTACTTGACTTCTGTCTGGAGAGTAAAATTTCCTCAATGGAAAGGACGTTCTGGGGTTGATTGCAACTATGATCTCATCGTTTGCTTATCTAAGCAGACAGACGTGCGTTATTCTTGGAGTAGACTGGGTATCTGGGAGAGGTTGTCCTGCAAGAAAGTCTATTTTGACAAAAAAGTAATTTTTCTCTATCAAACTGTAAAACGATAGTATGCTAATCATGACATTGAGAAATGGTATATAATTGACAATGTGGAGGACATAGGCAATTTGTCATCAAAGCAGAATTCATTCTAGGAGTTAGATATAAAGGGTTATATTTAATAATTATTGATATTGCATCCGATTTAACAAATTACATGTTCTCATGGGTTGCTCTTTAATTGATTGAAAAATTCAACATCCAATATGAACTTGGGTTTCAAAACATAGTAGCGCCACTTACATTGGCAACTATCTGAAAAATAGATCTCTATATGGTCAAAAATAAAAGGGAATGTAACAGTAAAATTAATTATTGTCACTGTTTTAAAGATCATGGTAAACTTGAAGCGTTTATCTTGTAGAAATTGCCAATATTTCAGAAATAATGCCTTGCTCGTATTGTTTGGAAGGGACAGGAAGAGGGGGAAAATAATTTTGGATCGTTTTAGTTCCTTATTACTGTATCAAACTTCATTTGGAACATGTATACCTGGACGTTATCAAGAAACTTCACAGCCTGGAAGATGTACTTAACAACAGCAAGCTCCCTGTCCATGTGTCAGTTCATGGAGGGGAGGGGACATGGCACTGTAAATAACAGGATTTTCTTTTCCGTATTGCAGTCAAAGTCAATTAAAGGTTTGTCCCTGCAGCCCTTTACTCTCTCCTCTCTTTCTTTTTTCTTTTTTATACAGGGATGTAGCAATAGACACAGTGAAGACAGGAATGGGAGGAAAAGCTGGAAATAAAGGGGCAGTGAGCATCCGTTTTCAGTTCCATAGTACCAGTTTCTGCTTTATATGCAGTCACTTAACAGCTGGGCAAACCCAGGTGAAAGAGAGGAATGAAGATTATAAAGAAATCACACAGAAACTCAGCTTCCCAATGGTAAGCAAGGATGTACATAAGCGAGAAACGTTGCTAATAGGAGGTAAAGGCTGTACACTGTGAAAATTGGTCCTAGGCTGTCTTTGCTGATGGGTCATCAAAGGAGTCAGCTAAGTGCCATGGAGAAAGAGCATTAAAAAAGGTAAACAGAAAGAAGAAGTAAACAAAATGGAAACAAAACAAAATGGAAACTATGACACAGGAAACCAGATGACACTCAATAAAGCACTTACTTTACAAAAATTCTACAGTTTTCAAAAAATGTAGATGCTGCAGTGCTTGAAGTCCTGGCCTTTGACAAGGTTTTAAGTTGATCTTTCAGAATGGAGCTCCTTGTTGACGTATTAAATGTTACGGCCTCATGCATGGCATCTAGGGGACTGATGTTACAGCTAGAGAACGTATTGATAGCTCTTGCTGGCACTAGTTAGTAAGGGTCCCTAAAAGACCATCCCTGCAAATCACAGTGCATTGGTGCTTTAGCTGTTCCTGCTCAGGTATGGTGATTCATTCTTTGTCACAGCTATTGTAATTTTTATTCCTTTCATTTTATCTGCATGAGAGTGTCACTGTCAAGGAACTACTGGCTGAATATAGCAAGTACAGACTATTGGTCTGTATAAATAACTTTTCCCCTGAACGATATCAAATCAATTTCCCTAGTGTTTTATTTCATACCAGTCTCCTCAGGCCAGCAGGTAACCTGTGGGGTTTGGTGGCTGTGCTTTTTTGCTTCCCTTAATAATGTTGGTTGCTTTAATTTCTGTAACTGCTCTTTCTTAGACCTCCCTGGAGAGGTCCTAAACCAGGGAGGGAATGGACTGGTTTGTGTATTCTGTTTAGTCAGCAAAAAATGGTATTCAGGTTGCAAAGCATAAAATTTAACTCCCTGTTGTTTGCAAGGTTTAGAGGCCTGACACATGCGGCATATTAATCAGTTGTGTTTTATGTAAGAAATAATGCTGACAGTCTGGAAGTCCTGCATAGAATGTGTGTTCTAAATGGCCATAAAGTCATGCTTATGGTAGTCTTTCCTTCTAATACCTCATTAACTCTTTTATGTCCTCATCATTTATAATAGCTAGATGTACCTTGTATGTGTGTAATACATACAAAGATTGCCCTCTAGTGCTGTGATAGCTACAGCTCTGCAGCATTTCTTTCATGAATCACTGAGTTTTAGAGGTTTATAACTTGACTGAAAAAAAAAAAAGACTGGTTAGAGGATAGCATGTTAAACTTGCCAGTGGACCGAGTTTTTACTGACATTTTATTTCAGTACATTTACAAAACTATGGCACATGCACATAAAAGCAAATCTTAGCTTTATGTTACTCAAGACCTTTGCTGCTGAATGTGCCTTGGTACCAGGAGCATTTTGTGTTGTATTTAGAATATGTAAATATTTGTATGTGAAATATGTTAGGAAAGTAAATAGTTTTTAAAATATTCATGATAGCCAAATTGTAAATTTAAAACCTTAATCCCAGTTTATACATACCTTCAGAAAACAGGGGCTAGAGTCTATTCATCTTGTTCACAAAATTCAGCTCAGTGGGATGTGAAAGACAGTGAGGAAACCATTTCTTTTTAGCATGAGTTGAATTTTAACAAAGAGAACATGGCAAATAAGTCCAGTACTTCAAATTTGAGAGAAACTGCATTGTACGTTTTCGTACATTTAAAAGTTGAGTGTTTGAATGTGATTTTAAAATAGTATTCTGTACCTTCAACTAGGGGCAGAACGTGTTCTCACATGACTATGTCTTCTGGTGTGGCGATTTTAACTATCGTATCGACCTAACGTATGAGGAAGTCTTTTATTTTCTGAAACGGCAAGATTGGAAAACACTTCTGGAATTTGATCAACTACAGCAGCAAAAATCCAGTGGAAAAGTAAGGCAGTTTTTCCCATTTGCTTACGCTTTAAAGTCATCGTTTCATGAATACCTGCATGTTGGCTTGGCTTTCTCGGTTCCTTGAGAAAGTGAAAATGGACGTTTTCAAGATCAATTTTTGCAGTATATAAACGTATTTGTTTAAAAATCAGAATGTTATTCATGCTTAAGAAAACTGGTATGTCATAATGGCATCTTCATCACCTGTAACTTAATCAAAGAGATGATACTTCTTTTTGTAGATTTTTAAAGACTTTCATGAAGGGACTATTAATTTTGGACCAACATATAAATATGATGTTGGCTCAGAGGCTTACGATACCAGTGATAAGTGCAGAACCCCAGCCTGGACTGACCGAGTGCTTTGGTGGAGAAAAAAACTTCCATTTGAAAAAACAGGTGCGTAGGGTCTTTCCATCCTCTTTATTTGAATGTCGTTTCATTTTTCATATAGAACCCATAGAAGGGGATATAATCTAGTGAATGGAGAAAAAGGGGCCTTGAGACTTCTGTGGGAAGTTTTGTGTTACAAAGGCTAGATTCACTGTTTCTGTTGATCTCGGTAGATATGTAAGCACTTTTTTGTAACTTCTTTTGCCCTGGTAACTTCTGGGAACATTTCTGCTAGCTTCTGGAATGGTGGAAGATTTCATTAATTAGCGTTTATAAAGTGCTTTGAGATCACGAGCGGCCACCACAGCAGAAGTGCTGTATACAATTTGTGTTTGTTATTTGAAAGTTAGCAATTAAAGAAGTATTTCTTGATGTAAGCAGAGGCAGTTTTCATAACCATGCTTGCAGTCTGCAGGTACGTCTGTCTCCCAGTGTTTGTAAAATCTGCATAGGTTCATATTAAAGGTGTAATCACTAGAGAAGTCATTTGGTTTGTGCCTGGAGATGTGATTTTTCTTATGCCTAGGATCTACTGCTTGGAATCCAAGTCATAACCACGAGTAGACTTAAGTGTAAAAACTGTGAAGCAAAACTAGGGTAATCAGAGAGAGTACGTATCCGTGTGATACAGAGTTATTTATGCTTATTTGAGGAATCAAAAATGAAGTAAAATGAGGTGTAATCTGAGAAGGAAATAAAACATGTGGGAAACATAACAAGGAAGTTATAACAGTAAGTGAACTTCCTTCGTGTCCTGGCTGTTTTCATTTTAGCAGAAAAAAAACCCTCCAACACTTTCAAAAAGTTTTCCAGCATATTCCTTACTTCAAATGGCAAGGCTTAGCCCCTGGGAAGACTGTAGTTGCTGGAGCACACTGAGAACATAGCACCCATCTAGCTGGCCTGCAAGAGCCCACTCTGTGTAGGAATAGAGGCAGGTTCCTTTACATAGCACCTGCGCCTCCCACAGCTAGCCCACATGGGTAGATGGCTGACCACTTGTCTGTCCACCCACCTTACCAGCCCTTCAGAGCTTTTCTAATGCCACCAGAGTCCCTCTTTTTTTTTTTTTTTTTTTTTTTTTGCTGGCAGCAAAGGTTTTTAGCCTCTCAGCTCTGACTCTTTTCCCTTGCTCCTTTTTTGCAGTGATAGGCTAGAGAACTATTTGCCTTCTAAGGAGAAAGTGTAGCCTCAGTGTGAGTGTTCAAGGAGAAATGCCATATTCCATGTTAACTCATTTTCAGCTCCACAGGCAAGAAATAGTTATTCATTAGCCCAGACAGTGGCCTAGTACCTCCTGGTACTGACGGCAATGTAATACCTCGTTCTAGCACAAAATCTGGAGCGCTTAGATTTATCTTAATTTATTGCAAAGAAAGCATTTGGAGGTTGGAGTTGCATGGGATTGCCTTTTTCTATTTCTTCACTCCCTGTGTTTTATTCAGAAATGCAGTCTATTTCACAAGTACTATGTCTGAGTAATGAGGCAGGAGAAAAAAATATTAATATGACTCTCGCACCCCAGACTGTGTAGATCACTGATTGGGTGACCTTCTGGTTACCGTTTTGCATCTGTCTTATTCTAGTGATCACCTATCTCTGTTGTTCTTCCATACTCCATATTTTGTTTCCTGTCTCCTAATTTCAAGGTGTTTTAGGGTAGAAGCTATTCTTTAAATGGTATATATGGGAACAATTAAAAATACCTCCTCCCACTACTAGGGTTCTGTGAACTGCATTGTAATAAAATAGCTTTTAACTGTTAGTAAGTTAAAAGTTAAGTAAGTTTAAACGATGTTTTGTACTGCATAGCTGGAGAGATGAATCTTCTAGACAGTGACCTGAATGCTGAAACTAAAGTGAGGCACACTTGGACTCCTGGAGCCCTGATGTACTATGGAAGAGCAGAGCTGCAGGCGTCTGACCACAGGTAAAGGCCTAAGCAAATAATCAGAGAAATTACCTCTAGGTTACAATGTGTCAAACAACTGCACCTTCAAAATGAGAAATTGAGTCTGATAGTAACAGGCGTTACAGGCTAATTCTCCGTTCAGTGTTTTGGTGTTTTTCTCATGGTAAGTTTTATATCAGGGTGGCAAGCATCTATAGTCCTGTAGGGATTTCTGCTGCACTGTGAGCTCAGCAAGGGTTGGATAAGTTGCAGCAAACTGAGGGCTTTCTGTTGCTTGTTTTTGGAAAGCTCTGGTACCCAAACAGGCTGCTCTGACAGACTCGCACTCATCCTTCTGTGAGAGAGGAGGGAGAAGGGACTATGTAACTCGAAAAGTTGTAAGTCACGTACATAGGGCCGGATGTGACCTCTTCAGAGTAGTAAAGTGTTAAGCTGCTGGGCTTTTCTTAGAAATGAAGGTGAGAGAAGGAAGAAAAAACGAAGACCAGTGCCTCTGGCTGGTCTATATCCCTGACATCTCTTTAGGGGATGTGAATGACTTTTCTTTGCTGAGCTTTATTACTGCCTCACTTCTCTGAAACAAACTCTGTAGTAAATACACCATGGAAGCTTCCTTGCATTCAGAATAATCTTTGTCGCAACCTTTGCATGCCCTCTGGAAATGCTACAGTATTGTTCCTCATAGCAGAGCTCAGTGAATCACAGCAGCTGGCCCTGTGCTCTTGTGCACGAGAACTGTTCTGTATTCCTCCAGCAACAGGAGGAACATGCCTCTTGCACGCAATTTCTCTTTGTCAAGGCTTTGACGTTACTATGTTCCACAAAGCATACTCATTATATAAAGGACCCTGAGGATGCAGTCTGTGAATCATGGCTGTTGTACATTGGTTTTCAGTTTCAGCAAACTAGACTGCAAAAACTGCTTTTTAATTACAGTCAGTGGGTTTGCTTTCCCAAGGTTTTTGCTGGAGAAAGGGCTTAGCTGTATCTTTCTGACATGGAAGTGCATTATGATTCACAGTTGTTACAGAAATAGTTAATGCTTCCTATACAAAGTTGTTTGTTTTTTCTACTATTTCTTTCTAGCTTAGCTGTTGTTGCATTAATGTCTTCTGGTAATACATATTCCAGAGCCTGCTCTACTGCAAGTGGGAGGCAGCAATTCTGAAGTAGTTAGAAGAGCAGCCATCCCAGTTACTGCTCCACATATATTTGCAGGTGGAATTCTGAGAATGTCGATATTGCATCCATGGAGACCAGAAAAGCTTTGCTCTTTCAGAGAGTTTTCCCAATTGTATTTAGATCTGACACATAGGGAGGGAATCTGTAAGAAATGGCTCAGGAAGCAGGTTTTCAGTGTTGCTTGCTTATAATGTTACGGTTTGACGTATGTTTGCTACATAAGCACACTATGCACTTAGAGTACCTTAGTGTTTGTCCTTAGTGTTTGGAAGAAAGGCATCTTATGCAGCCTTGAATTATATCTAACAGAACTGAGACAGCTGTTTAATAATGAGTGAGGCGTTCTAGTACCTTTCGATTGCAGTTTTGTCAGAAGTGCTACGCACAATTGTTTGAATTCCTCTATGGTGTGTCCTCCCTGTCACATCCAGCTAGTGCAGCAGTGGTAAATACAATAGTGCTCAAGGCATGATCTTCTACTGCAGGAAGAATGAAACAATCCATCAGAGTGAGAACTTCTGAGTTGTATTACCAGCCACAGTGCTTCCTTGCTGTGAGACCTTAAGCTATTTGCTCAGCCTTTCCTTCTATGTAGACTATATAATAATCATCTCCTTCTAAGGTGCATCAGGCTTAATTAAAATATTTGCAATGAGCTTTGACATCGTGGAGTTAAAAGTGGCTATAGATGTACAGAGTTTAACAATGTAATGTTTGTCCCTCACACAACTAAATTCTTACCTGTCCTATAGCTTGACACTGATTTTAGTTTTAAATAAGCATTTCCTATTGCTTCATGTTATTTTTGATTTTAAATAAGTATTTCTCCTTTGTTTTATGCAGACCTGTGTTAGCTATTGTAGAAGTAGAGGTTCAGGAAGTCAATGAAGCTGCCCGTGAGAGTGTTTTCCAGGAAGTGTCATCTTTCCAGGGACCACTGGATGCCACAGTAGTGGTAAATCTGCTGTCACCCATGCCTGAAGAGAAAAATGAATTTCCCGAGGACCTGCGTACAGAGCTTATGCAAATGTTTGAGCATTATGGCACTGTTGTTCTGGTCAGGTAAATGTGGAATCTGAGATGCATGTCATCTATTTACAAACGCAAACCAGAGATTCCCTTCTGTCCCCACAGAGTTAATTTTATATTTGGAAGTACTATGATGAATGCCTTCACTGCATGTTGAATTCTTCATTGGAATTAATATGTGTGTTTTGAATATCTTTTACCTTTTATCACCTCCTTAATGAAGTAGTTTAACAGCTCTCTTGGCTGAATGGAGGAGAATTTTATTCAGTACAGCACCACAGAGCAGAGGCTTCAAGGTAGATCATCATCTTTAGATTCAGGTCTCATTTATGTGTATTGCTTCTGCTTGCAGTTCCTCAGGCCCTGCTTCACTTCCCCTGAGGAGGTCTGCTGTCTTCCAATGCTCTTTCACCCTTGGTAGGATTTTCTGGCTGGCTTTCATTTCTTTTGGGAATCCTTTTGCTCATTTTTGAAGAATATGGCTTCTCAGTTCCAATGCCTACTGAGTTTGAGAGGGAGGATGTGATTATATCTTCTGGCAGAGCAGTTTAATTTCTTTCTGGTTGATTCCGTACAGGGCTCCAGCATAGCTGTGAAACTTCTCTTTTGAGAAATACAGGCAAAACTGGGCAAGGCCTGATTGACTGCACTTGTGACCTGGGAAACAAGACCAGAAAGTTGATTATGTTGTATTTAATGCATTTGTTGATGAGGAAAGCAGATGATCTGTTGTTGTACGGTATTACAACTGAATATAAGTTGAGGGTTCAAAAGCAGCCCTGCAGGAACACTAGTACCACCTTGCCTGTGAAGCAAAGGAGCAAGAAAAGAAGATGCTTTGTTCTTTTTTTAATTTTTGTATTGCTTTACAGCTCGATGGTATGATGATCTTTGGGGGAGGTCTCCTGTCCTTTGAGACAGGGTATATGCATAGCCAAGGAATATGATGCAGAGGTAATGTGGATAATAGCCTAGATATCCTGTAAAGCACTGCCGAGATGTTTGTACTTGGGCTTTGAGAACAACCCAGTAATGGGCATGGTGCTGGAGTCACACAAAGGGGGATAGGTGGAGAGGGAGAGCCCAGCTGCGATTCTTAGAGCACCTGTTCCTCCCCAGAATATACAGCTGTGAGAAGAACACAGCTAAAACCAGGCATGGAGCTGTACAAAACTACTGTGGTCACCTTTAGGACTTTTATTCACTTGCAGAATAAAATGCAGTTTTCTTTCTTCTGCCTGTTTTTACTAGGATCTGTGGAGGTCAAATGCTGGTGACATTTGCAGACAGCAAGTCAGCTCTTCGCGTTATGGATATAGACGGTATCAAGGTAGGACTATCTCAAATCTATTACAGTAATTTCATACCAAATATCGCAAAAGTAGTTGCTTGGAATGAGGTACGCAAGTGTTTAGCTCAATTGGTAGCGTTATTTCAAAGAAAGTCAGTACTTGCAAAGTCCTTAGCTCTCACAACCTCTGAGGCTTTTCATGTTTTTCAGTTTCAGGAGGGCAGGAGGTGACTTTTCTTGGAGCTACTAAGCAATGCTCAGGACCTGGCCTTATGATATCACGGCAGGATACATACACTCGGTCATTGTTCTGACATTTTAAGCAGTTCTGTAGAGACTGTGCGTGGCTTTATACCGTTGCCAAAGCATCCTCACAATTATTTGGAGCTTTTTTTGTTTTTCTTAAGTGTACCAAATAAACTCCTTCTACCAAGCTGGAACATGATTCATTGGCTTCCATGGCAAACACACCATTAGAAGTAGGCTTTTACCTTCCCTTCCCCAGCTCCTCCTTCCCGCACACATACACTACAACTCATCAACTTCCTCATTTATGCTGACAACACTGTTTGTGTGGCTGCGCTGTAAACAACATAGAAGTAATGGATTTAACCCCTGCACTTCTTTCGTGTTCGGTGTTTTATCTTTTAGTTTGGCTCATTTCACTGATCTAATTTATAGCACAGACCCAAGCACAGTTGTATGGACACAACTGAAGGGACTGGGAACTGGGGTCAGGAACTATGACTTTACTGCCAAGGCTGCTATCTTTGGTACATCTCACCAGAAATGTCACAGAACAACATATATAAGCAGCTGTGGTCCTAATCTGCTCAATACCTTACTTCCCACACAGATCAACAATCATATTTGATTGGGATTTTCTGAGCAGAGAGCTTCCTTGCAGATGGCAGTGAGTAGTATGTTCCTGTGTGTTTTTAAAAAAGCCTCTGACTCATACCAGGCCCTTCTCACCCCATTGTTACGATCGCTGTATCATTTTGTTGATACTTGATGTTTCACCTTACTTCTCAAGTAATTCCTAAGTGTAGCGGTGGGGCTTCTGAGCTGTGAAGCTAACTTTATTTCCAGACTATTGTTTCAGGCTGAAGACTTGATTCTGGTTTAGATTATGGAAGTAGGAAGTGAGCTTCCTTTTCCTTTAGCTTCTGAAATGAAGCTTTAGTTGCATCAGTTTCTGAAGCAGTTGTACTGTAGACTGGCAGCACTTGCTTATTCTGCTGAGGTATTCTCATTTGGTTGAAGTTGCTAGGCAAAGGGAAAATAATTCTTTCTCGGTGTTAGGTCAGAGGCAGAACAGTGAAGATCCGTCCCAAGACGAAGGACTGGCTGAAGGGCCTTCAGGAGGAAATTGCTCGAAAAAGGGACAGCTTTGCCCCCAAGTCACCCACAGCAAACTCCTGTCTGCTAGAAGAAAATTTTGACTTCTCAAGTTTGGACTATGACTCAGAAGGTGAGCAGCAGGTTTCTAAGCTAAGTTGTGAGAAATTGCTTCACTAACTTTGGTTGCACAGAGAAGGCACAATATCACAGAATCACAGAATCGTTTAGGTTGGAAGGGACCTCTGGAGATCATCTAGTCCAACCTCCCTGCTCAAGCAGGGTCCTCTAGAGCATATTGCCCAGGATCACATCCAGACGGCTTTTGAATATCTCCAGCGAAGGAGACTCCACTACCTCGCTGGGCAACCTGGTCCAATGCTCAGTCACCCTCACAGTGAAGAAGTTTTTTCTCAGGTTCAGATGGAACT